CAGGCAATCTACTCACCTCAGCCTCCCAAAGTGCGGGATTACAGGCTGAGCCACTGAGCCTGGCTAGAAAATACTTCTAATAGAATGAAATAAACAGCCAAAAGTCAAAAATATAATTCTTTTACAATAGAAAATTTCATAAATTTTGTGTATAAACAGTACAGCACAGCAGTTTAGTGGCTAAGAATAATAAACTCTGGAGTCAGACTGCCTAGACACAAATCCCTATCCCACCAGTAATTTGCCATGTAACTTTCAGCAAGTCACCTTATACTCTTCAATGCCCCTGTTTCCTCATTAGGAAAATGGGAAGAAAAATATAATCTACCTCTTAGAATAAAATGTTACTACATTCAATGGCCCCTAAAATACAGGTGCTGTTTAGCTATAACATATGTGTTAGTTGTTTTTAATTAGTTTTTTCCATGTCCTCATCATTATTTCCATGTCCTTTAACCTGACCCAGTGCAAATGACAGTGTTCCATTACCCAGGTTTGAAGTTGTAAGATTTGAAATTTAGATAAGAGAGAAACTGATGAGTGCTGGTATAGATTGGTATTAATGATAGAACAAATAACAAAGTCACAATTTAATGATCTTTGTTGGTGAGATAGCTAGCAGAGACTCAATCATGAGACTACTTCTGTAGATATTGACAGTAGACAATATATTATACAGGCATGTCCAAACTGCAGCTCACAGGCCACGGGCAGCCCAGGACAGCTAGTAATGCAGTCCTACAATATCTTTCAGCATCATGTGCTTTTTAGCATTTATTTTCTTTGTAACCCCATGCATAGTTCCATTTTTGAAGTTCACAATCACACCTTATTCATGACATCACTTTCTGGTAGCACATACATTTGTGAGCAGCTGCTTTCAGTTATGAAGATTCCAACAAGCATTTCTGATGATCACCTTGACAACTTATTAAGAATGGTGACTACTTCAATTGAACCATACATTGAAAGATTACTTTTACAAAATTGAGGTCAAATTTCCCATTAGTTTTATACTGTTCTCATTTGCTGAAACTTTATAATAAAAAATAAGAAAAAAAGAAGTCTTATTACATATAACCACTAACTCTATTTATGTAATTTATGTGTGGCCCAAAACAATTCCTCTTTACTTGATGCGACCCAGGGAAGCCAAAAAGTTACTCGATATGGCCCAGGTAAACCTATATAATACAGGACACCCCTATACTCCAAAGAAAACCCAGTGAAGGCTGAGGCAGAAGAATCACCTACACCCAGCAGATCCATGCTGCGGAAGCCATGATGTGCTGCTATACTCCAGCTTGGGCAACAAGAGAGAGACTCCAACTCAAAAAAAGAAATACACACAACAAAAAAGTCCAGTACTTAGATCTACTTCAGAGGGTAAATGAAGTTTATAAAGTTAACAGATTCAAGATAAGATCAGAGGGCAATTATGCCTTTTAATCAACTTCTGCCTCTAATCTATATTGATACAATATTCTCCATAAATTTTACCATGTCTTATTTCCACTAATGGTGAAGTAAGAATTAAAATGATCAAAGAATGCTTTTGTCCCAGCCTGGGCAACTTGGCGAGACCTCATCTCTACAATAAATCAAAAAATTAGCTGGGCATGGTGCTGCACGCCAGTAGTTCCAGCTACTTGGAAGACCGAGGCGGAAGGATGGCCTGAGCCCAGCAGGTAGAGGCTGCGATGGCCGTGAGCTTGCCACTACACTCCAGTCTGGGTGACAGAGTAAGACTCTGACTCAAAAAAAAAAAAAGAATGCTATCTAATAAAATATTTTTCAGTTTTTATCTCCCTAAATCCATAAAAAAAAAACTTCTAAACAAAACTCCCCAGAGCTACATTTCAGTTTCTAGGTAAAATGGGGAAAAAAATGGTAGAAAGATGAGTTATTATTAAATATTACTAGTCCACTTCTTTTATAGATGAGTATCATTTTTCTTTCTTTACCTGTAAAATGAGAATACCCTATCTACCTAAATCATGGCGATTTTGGCAATTTCGAATAAAAGAATATATTTGAAAAAACTATGTAATTGAGATATAATGGTCATCTCTCTCTCTTATAAGAAAACAAAGAATTTAAATACTTTCATATAAAACATAAATCATAACAGAGTTTACCTTTTGGGGCGGGAGCTAGACAATTCTGACATGGGGCACTTATTCTTCTCCTTGACATCTGAAATACTCGGTTCTTCACTATATCTAGATCCTCCTATTCCAAATAAAAACACAAATATAGAGTATTAGTAAATTGTCTCAGACCCGCAAGGTTTTTATCCCTCTTAAAACCTTGGTTTTCAGGCCCAGTGCAGTGGCCCACACCCATAATCCCAGCACTTTGGGAAGCTGAGGTGAGAGGACTGCCTGAGCCCACAGGTTCGAGACCAGCTCGGACAACTTGGCGAGACCTTATCTCTACATCCCATTTCCTGCCACAATCTAGAAATTCTTTTACTGAAGCAAAATCTCACAGATTTCTTTCTTAAAACCAAAAAAATACCCATCTTTAACTCAGCCACCTTTCTATTTCTCTCTCCTATACTAAACTTAAATAATAGCATACAGCTATTTCCAATTTTTTACCTACTACACCTAAGGTATTTCAAGTTTTACTCTGCTCTAATGTATCTTCAGAAATTAATTTTGTGAAGGACATTTAACTGCTCAAAATTCACAGATATCTTTTCATTTATCCTCTGGCTTCAGAATTTGCCTCTAACTTATCTTTCTAGCTTTATCTGCTGTTATCCATGCACGTTACATTACAAATACCATCAAACACACTGAGATTCCAAAATAAAACATGTTCTTTAACTGCCCTTTCATGGGCCTTTTTTTTTTTCCAACTAAAAATGTCTTCCCCAGTTTCTCTAACTGGTATACTACCCAATTCAATCACCTCCTTGATGAAATCTTTCCTACCAGTCCTCAAAAGGTTCTTATAAAAAAGAGAGCCCAGTTGGGTGTGGTGGCTCAAGCTTATAATCCCAGCACTTTGGGGGGCCAAGGTGAGAGGAATGCCTGGACAACATGGTGAGACTTCGTCTCTAAAATATATAAATAAAAAACAAGCTGGGCGTGGTAGTGGGCGCCTGTAGTTCTGGCTGCTTGGAAGGCTGAGGCGGAAGGATTGCCTGAGCCCAGCGGGTCAATGCTGGGGTGGCTGTGAGCGTGCCACTACACTCCAGCCTGGATGACGAAGTGAAACTCCAACTCAAAAAAAAAAAAAGACCCTAAATTTTTGTATAGTACAAAGCCAAAACTAGAATTACATTATTAGGTTGAAAAACTATAAATCAAATACTGGGTCACATTCACAATTAAAGTTTACCTTTGCTTAGTCCATCTGCCTTTTCATTGGTTGCCTTGTTTCTTCCAAGTTTCATAGATTCATCATTAACATTACAATCCTGAGTGAAAATGCATACTTCTTAAATGATATAACCATCAATTTAAAATAAATTTAAAATGCATCCTATTTTATATTGCTTTACTTGGCATAATAAAGTCTACTTAAGTAGCTACCCCATTCTGGAACAATTAAGAAAGACAAATAATTGAAAAAGAAAATACACAAACTTATTTAAAATTTTGTAATGGGTGTCTTAAAAAAAAGAAAACTAGTTGGTCTTCACCTTTCCAAAAGGAGTACAAACAGCAAAAGTTAATTATAAATAACATATTAGTTACTGTGAGAAAAATTCATAAACTGGGATTTAGTTTAGAATTAAGAATTTTAGACTTCAAACTTCTCAAACCAATGTTTCATACTCAGTAAAAAAAAAATAGATCATTAATGACAGCTGCCACTGACATCATCTTTTGCTCTGGAAATCTCCTGGCAGGTAGATACAATTGTATAGGTCCCAGAGTTCCCTTCTCTCTTATCCCATAGGGAATTTTTCTGCCAGCCCTTTTCCTGTTACTCTTCAAGTATACCTCTTTGTTTCAAAATGCATCAAAATGTAAATGAGTCCAAAAAAAAAAAATCTATGAAGTTAAGAACTTTAAGAACCCCTTAACAAGCCGGGCTTGGTGGCTCAGTCTGTAATCCTGCGCTTTGGGAGGCTGAGGTGAGTGAAATGCCTGAGCCCGCGGGTTCGAGACCCACCCGGGCAACTTGGTGAGACCTCATCTCTACAATAAATCAAAAATTAGCTGGGCATGGTAGCGCACGCCTGTAGTTCCAGCTACTTGGAAGGCTGAGGCGGAAGGATCACCGGAGCCCAACAGGTCGAGGCTGCGGTGGCCGGGAGTGGCCACTGCACTCCAGTCTGGGTAACAGAGTGAGACTCCAACTCAAAAAAAAAAAAAAAAAACCCTAACAGTTAAGATTCACTAAAAATGTCGCTGAAAAGATCTATCCCCTTCTAATGGTACTAGTCTAAATAAATTAAAAATCTAAGATTTTTAGAGACATGTAAACTAGAAGTTATTTTAGGTGGTTAACTTTTAAAGCATCAGAAAAGAAATAGACATTTTGCTTTTCATCAAATAATTAGTATAACCATTTATATTATAGTATATAAAAAATAATCTAGGAGGCAGAGGCGAGAGAATTGCAAGACGTCAGGGGTTCCAGACCAGCCTGAGCAACATGGCAAGACCTCATCTCTACAGTAAATCAAAAAATTAGCCAGGAATGGTGGTGCATGCCTTTGGTTCCAGCTACTTGGAAGGCTGACACAGAAGGATCACCTGAGCCCAGCAGGTCGAGGTTGCAGTGGCTGTGAGCGTGCCACTGCACTCCAGTCTGGGTGACAGAGTAAGACTCTGACCCAAAAAATAATAATAATAATCTAAAAGTTTATCCACACATAAAGGATGTCTTTTAACATTATGATTTGGCCAGGCTCAGTGGCTCAGCCTTTAATGCCAGCACTTCAGAAGGCCGAAGCAAGTGGATTGCATGAGTCTACAGGTTTGAGACCAGCTCGGATAACTTGGCGAGACCTCGTCACTACAGGCGTGGTAGCGTGCGCCTGTAGTTCCAGCTACTTGGAAGGCTTAAGTGGAAGGAACACTGGAGCCCAGCAGTTTGATGCTGGAGTGGCCGTGAGCGTGCCACTGCACTCCAGCCTGGGTGACAGAGTGAGACTCAATCTCAACATAAATAAATAAATAAATAAACATTATTATTTATATTATTTTGTTCAGCAGCCTTTTCTTCCATAAAGTTCAGAGGTAAACTTTTTACCAAGTCCAAACTAGCTGAAGTCAGTCACACCTATGCTTCAATCTGAGAGAATTTTTTTCTTTTTTTAAAGATGTGGGGTACAATTCAGGGTTAGGTATACAAATGTTCATTATGCAGATTCCCTTGTTGATGAGGAGTGCCCCTACCTCCCCTAGCAGTTTCCCTCAACTGCCAATCCCATGCTCCCTCCCCTGGCAGTTTCCCACTACCACCAATCCTTAATCTAAGGGAATTCATATCAATATTTCACTGTGTTTAAGTTCAGGATATCTAAATCTAGTTGAAAGTGTAAAAAATAATTTTGTAATAAAGTCTTGGCTGGAAATCACATCTTCAGTTTCCATTTATTGACATAGCAAACCAAATATCCAAAACCTTCCTACTATTCAAATATTTTAAATACAAATCTGATCTTGGTAAAAAAAAAAAAAAGAGAGAGAGAGAGAGAGAGAGAGAGAAATTCTGGCCGGGAACAGTGACTCACTCCTGTAATCCCAGCACTTTGGAAGGCCGAGGTGAGAGGATTGCTTGAGCCCAGGCTTTTGAGACCAGCCTGGTCAAGGTCAACTTGGCAAGACCTTGTCTCTATGATAAATCAAAAAATTAGCTGGGTGTGGTAGTACATGCTGTGGTTCCAGTTACTTGGAAGGTTCAGGTGGAAGGATCACCTGAGCCCAGCAGGTCGAGGCTGCGGTTGCTGTAAGCATGTCACTGCACTCTAGCCTGGGCGACAGAGTAAGATTCCTATTCTCAAAAAATAAAAAAAGGGCAACCCCCCCAGGTCCCATTCCACTGTGGAGGCTTTTCTGCCCTCTCAATATATGCTCCTTCTAAAAAATAAAATATAAAGAGAAATTCTTGCTGATAATTGATAACTTTCTTAAGTGACAAAGGAGATTAAAGTAGCAGTCTTACATGCTCTATCAATTCTAGTAACCTTGAACTTCAATTTTAATAACGAAATGTAAAAAAAACAAGACATGAAGCATTAGAGAATTCAGGGTAGGGAACCGAATCTGAGACTGCAATAGGTCAAACTTCAATAAAAGTAGAAAGAAGGCTGACCAGGCATGGTGGCTCACACCTGTAATGCCAGCACTTCGGGTAGCCAAGGTGAGAGGATTGCCTGAGCCCATGGGTTCAAGACTAGCCTAGGCAACATGGCAAGACCTCACCTCTACACTAAATAAATAAATAAGTAAATAAACAAACAAACAAAATTAGCTGGGCATGGTGGCGAGCGCCTGTAGTTCCAGCTACTTGGAAGGCTGAGACATAAGGATTACCTGAGCCAATCAGGTCGAAGCTGCGGTGGACATGAGTGTGCCACTGTACTCCACCCTAGGTGACAGAATAAGACCCATCTCTACAAAATATCAAAAAACTAGCTGGGCTTGGTGGCACACACCAATAGTCCCAGCTACTAGAAAGGCTGAAACAGGAAAATCACTTGCGCCTAGAAGGTCAAGGGTGTGATGAGCCATGATCATGCCACTGCACTCCAGTCTGAGCAATAGAATACAACCAAAACTTAAAAAAAAAACACATACACACACCCCCGAAAACAAAAGTAAAAGTAGAAAGAAGGAAATGTAAATAAATATAGATATTAATAAAAAAAATCTTAATAGCAAGTAGCAGGAAATTGATGTGCAGCCTTTCTGAAAACTAAAAACTAAGAATAGTAGTTCAGAAGAGTTTAAAAAAGAGAGACTCTGTACACACCTTTCTGCTATTTTACTACTTTTACTACTTTCACTGAATTTTCATGTAAGAACAAAAATAATTGCTTTCTAAGAACATTTATTTTTCATTCTTAGAAATTGAATAAGTATGTGTATATATCATAAACATAAATATATATATTAAATAACAAGAAAAGTCACCTAAATACAGGAACAGAAAACCAAACACTGGGCTGGGCACAGTGGCTCACACCTGTAATGCCAGCACTTTGGGAGGCAGAGATGAGAGGATTGCCTGAGCCCATGGGTTCAACACCAGCCTGGGCAACTTGGCAAGACCTCATCTCTACAATAAAAATTAAAAAATTAGCCAGGCATGGTCGTGCATGCCTGTGGTTCTGGATACCTGGAAGGCTCAGGCAGAAGATTCTCCTGAGCTCAGCAGGTTGAGACTGCAGCAGTGGTGAACATGCCACTGCACTCCAGCCTGGGCAACAGAGTGAGACTCCAACTCAAAAAATAAAAATAAAATAGTTTCCTAGAAATTACATTATTAGGCCGTGCATAGTGGCTCAAGCCTATAATTCTAGCACTTTGGGAGGCCAAGGTGAGAGGATTGCCTGAGCCCACGGGTTCAAAACCAGCCTGGGCAACATGGTGAGACCTCGTCTCTATAATAAATCAAAAAATTAGCTGGGTGTGGTAGCGCACACCTGTAGTTCTGGCTACTTGGAAGGCTGAGGCAGAAGGATCGCCTGAGCCAAGCAGGTCAAGGCTGCGGTGGCCGGCAACGTGCCACTGCACTCCAGCCTGGGCAACAGAGTAAGACTCCAACTCCAAAAAAAAAAAAAGAAATTACATTACTTACTAGGTCAAAGATTATGAACACTTTTAAAGTTGTTACTATGTATTACCAATCACCCTCAAGAATGTGATACCAACTTATACTCTTATCATCACATCTTTGAAAACATCACATATTACCAATTTCTTGGTAATTTTTTTTAAGAGATAAAATTTAAAGGATTCATAATAAACCAGAGACTTCACAAAAAGTACACTTATGAATACTTTACCTTCTTCAGTAGATTCTTTTTAATTCTTTCAATAGGAAGAGGTTTTCCATCATGGAAGTTGGTAAGAATTACCGCAATGGCTGTAAGAGTTTTACCCTTTAAAATGTTTTTAAAAGACAAAAGTCAGATTCTAAAATCCAATTGATCATTAAACATCCCAAAAATCAATTCTAAAATCAATTAACCAAGTATTAACTATCAGTCAAGATCACAAAAGTATACTGATTAAATAAAATACATGTTAATAAAAACGAATATTTAATTTAGTTAAAAACTGCTTTCCTCCACTGCATTAGGAATGATTAAATGATTTATACTATAAACATCTCCGAGAAATGTCATTTTATTGAATGACCGCTATTCTAAACTTCTACATTTAATCCTAAACTGTCAATTTCATGATAAAGCTATTTAAAACTACTTGATTGCCATGAAATTCAAAGTTAATTTAAAATGATTAGTAATTCCAGTACACATTAGAGAGAATCATTTAATCAAATTTGGTTTGGAGATGATACTAAGATTTAAAAGCTGCAACTTGTCCATAATACTTTGATAAGATATTTCTTATGTATTTTTCTTAAATGGAAACATGTAATTTTTAAATATTTTCTGCAGCTTGATTTATAGTTAGCAATACAGAAATAAATATCTGGCACTCTTAAGGCAGTGTAAAATAGCAGTGCTTTTTTGGTAAGCTGAGGTCTCATTCTGTTGCCCAGGTTGGAGTGTAGTATCACAATCACAGCCCACTGCAGCCTCAATCTTCTGGGCTCAAACGATCCTCTTGCCTCAGCCTCCCAAATAACTGGAACTACAGGCATACGTCACCAAGTCCAGCTAATTTTTTTGTAGAGACATGGTCTCATTATGTTGCCCAGGCTGGTCACGAACTCCTGCACTCATGTAACCCTCCTTCCCCAGCCTCCCAAAATTCTGGGATTACAGGTGTGAGTCACTGCACCAGACCTAAAATAGAAGTTTTCAAAAGTGGTTCACAGGCTGATGGTCTGTGGGTTCCCAGGACCCTTTCAGGAAAATGTGAGGTCAAAACTATTTTTATAATCCTACTAAGTAATATCTTACTTATGTGACATCTACAGTAATGCTACAAAAAACAATGTTAGAAAAAGTGCCTTAGCATAAAACAAAGTAGTTGACGCTATGCTATATTAGTGGTCACCAGATTCTTTATCACCACATATAATAAAAAAGAAAAATAAGTTTTTCCTTAAGAATACTCTTGATGAAACAACACACACTATAAATCTCACCTCGTAAGTACACAACTTTTTAATATTCTGTGTAATGAAATGGAAAGTACACATAAAATACTTCCGTTGCATATTAAAATACACAGGGTTGGCTGGGCATGGTGGCTCACATCTGTAATTCCAGCACTTTGAGAAGCGGAGGCGAGAGCATTGCCTGAGCTCAGGGTTCAAGACCAGTCTGGGAAACTTGGTAAAACCTTGTCTCTACAATAAATCAAAACATTAGCTGGGAGTGGTGATGCACACCTGTAGTTCCAACTACTTGGAAGGCTGAGGTGGAAGACTGCCTGAGCCCAACAGGTCAAGGCTGCAGTGGCTATGAGCGTGTCACTGCATTCCATCCTGGGCAACAGAGAGAGACTCCAACTCAAAGCAAAAATAAAAGCCCAGCAGGTCAAGGTTGCGGTGGCCGTGAGCGTGCCACTACACTCCAGCCTGGGCAACAGTGAGAATTCAACTCAAAAAAAATAAATAAGAGTCATCTAGAGAAAAATCACTTGAGACTGAGTTGCAAGCTCAACTAGTCACTTTTTTCATGCAACACCATTTTACTTAAAAGAATGACTGATAACTATCATTCACAATTGAGTGAAAGATATTTTCTTAACAATGAACAAAGTGAGGTCATCATCTTCAAGGAAAATAACAGAGTGTTTGTTGTCAATGATAAAATTTGACTTTTCAATATAAAATTAGAATGTTGGAAAATTTTTATCTGACGCTATGAATATAACAGCTACCCAAAATGTAAATTCTTTTTTAATAAGGTCAGTAGTAATATTAATGAATATAACTTTATGACATTGCATAATGAAATACATCAACATTGTGGGAGATATGTATAGTGCAATGAACCAGTATTTTCTAAGTGTGCAATGTCTGATGTTATAAAATCATGCATGGGTAAAATATCCATTCAATGGGCAAGATATACAAATAGATTTTAATGAAACAGTATAAAAAAGTTCACTGATATTTTAAGTTCCATTGCTTAACTATTAGCCTTTAATAAACTAATCCTTGTTGAATTTTGATATACTTATCAAAAAAGAAATCTACAATTATCTAAAAAGCTATTGAAGTATTCCTCCCTTTTACAGCTACCCATATGTATGACAAATTTCCCTCATATACTTCAGCCAAAACAACATATCACAATGGGCTGATGAACAAGCAAATATGAGATTTCAGCTACTCGGCCATCAACAAAGGGATCAGCAAAAAATGTACAATGCCAGTCTTCTCACCAAAATTGCTATTATTTTAGCATAGTTACTTTACATTTAAAAATATGCTACTTGTAACAACAAGTAATGAGTTTGTCAAGTTTCTAAAAATAAATTAGTAATGCCTAATGCTAGAAATATTAACAAACATAGGCCATAGAAACAAACTTTGAGATCCTCAATAATTTTTTGTGTGTGTGTTCTAGGGTATCACTCTCTTGCCCAGACTGGAGTGCCTCCAATCTTTCCACCTCAGCATCCCAAAGTGTTGGGATTACAGGCATAAGCCACAGGCCCAGCAAGAGATCTTCAGCAATTTCTAAGAAGGTTACTGAGAACAAAAAGTATAAAAACTGATAGTGTAAAGAATCATATATTCTATTTAATTCTCTGCATAACACAGTATTTGTGACAGAATACAATTTTATATCGTTTTTACTTTTGGAAAGAAAACCCATAAAAGATAGACTACTCTGAATTTCTAAACACAAAGAAAATAGAGAAGCACATGTCTATAACCTATCACTATTACCTAATTATTTTAATTGTACTTTAACCAAACAAAAAGTATATCATTATTTTAAATGAAACTACAGGAAAAAGTGTTTTCTACAATGAAAGTAAAATCTAGTCCCAAACTAGTACCAACATATTCCTATCTTTCTACTTCAAAATTACTTTCTACAAAAGAATAATCTCAAACAAGATTTTATTAACTAAAGAAAGAAACAATTACCAAACCCATATCATCAGCTAAAATTCCTCCATGGACATTTACTGGTCGGTCCTTCTCAGAAAAATTTGTTATTGTATTATAGTATAAGTCATTTCGCTGTTCCCAGAATGGCGGAAGTTCTTTACTGTTTTCCCGTGAAACCATCCAAGCTAAAGCTTGTTTTTGATGTGGAAGTAATGGTGTTTCAACAGCCTATAAATAAAAAGACATAAAGACAAATATGGTAAGCTCTCTCATTTTTCACAAGCAGAACTTGAATGTGATTTAAAAGTGTAGATTATCAGCATATTTTAAAATTTGGAATAGTTTTAAATGGAAAATACTGCTCAATACCTCAGCTGGTTCCATTTCATGAGTTTTATCATCTTCTTTTAAATCTTCAAACAATTTGTCAAATTCTGTTTTAAGCTACAGTAAGCAGCAACAAGAAACAACATAAAACAAACCAATTAAAACAGTAATTGGACTTAAGTCAGAGATTTCAAATAACTTAGAGTCAAATGTCAAAAAGTCACATAAAATAATTATTTTAGATACTATACTGCTCATTGAAGGCAGAATGAGTAAGTGCTCTAAGTATAAGAGGTAACTGTATTGTATTTTAAAGAATACAGAAAAGGGTTTTAAGCCTGGGTTTCAGTCACAGTTGTGTCACAAATAAACTTATATGTAGGTTTGGGCAGAACATTTATTCTTTATGTATCTAATTCCTGTAAAATGAAAGAGATGAACTAAATTTAGATGGTCTCAAGGCTCCTTCTGCCATTTAAATTCTATGATTCTATTAGTTGTATTCAAACGATTTAGTCAGTCCCACCAGGTGCATCTAACTCTCTTTCAAGCCAGTAACATTTCATTTATTATTACTGCCATAAGGAACTTCCTATTGCTATAAAATATCAGGGTGACTTTATTATTGTGCTAATATAGTTGATTATTTAAACTAATCTAGTCTAATTTTAGGTCAACATATATGTGTTATGGATACTTTTTTTGCAAATTAACACAAACACATAGCAGTAGCCCAGAAGAAATAAGGCTGGGTCTAAAAAGTTAGGAGAGGTAACCTGGGGTTTACCCACCAGACACATGCTCAGTCCTTCAAGCAAAAAGCAGTGGTAATATAATAACGGTAATTAGTAGATAAAAGGACTAACACTCTACTGGTGAATACAGACATCAAAAAAGTTTTAATGTTATTTTAAAATTGACCTGTATTGATTTATCTCATTTTTTCCCAAACTAACTCAGCATAACAATATCCTAGATTACAAATTAGACAAAGAACTACAGTAAAGCCGGGCTCGGTGGCTCAGCCTGTAATCCCGCGCCTTTGGGAGGCTGAGGTGAGTGGATTGCCTGAGCCCGCGGGTTTGAGGCCCGCCTGGGCAGCGAGACCTCATCTCTACAATAAATCAAAAAATCAGCTGGGTGTAGTAGCGCTGTGCCTGTAATTCCGGCTATTTGGAAGACTGAGGCGGAAGGATCGCCGGAGCCCAGCAGGTCGAGGCTGCGGTGGCCGGGAGCAGCCACTGCACTCCAATCTGGGCGACAGAGTGAGACTCCAACTCAAAAAAAAAAAAAAGAACTACAGTAATGACGAAGATCTGGTTTCTTCTTTTACACTGCATTTGCAACCTTACTGAAAGGAATTAGTTTCAAGATTCAAAATTTTTTAAAATAACTACTTGAACATTTTGAAAATTTCAAATACGTGCCAGGCGTGGTGGCTCACGCCTATAATCCCAGCACTTTGGGAAGCAGAGGCAAGAGGACTGCCTGAGACCTTTGAGAGGTAGAGGCAAGAGGACTGCCTGAAACCACAGGTTCAAGACCAACCTGGGTAACTTGCAATACCTTATCTCTACAATAAATCAAAAAATTAGCTGGGCATGGTGGCACACGCCTGTAGTCCCAGCTACTTGGAAGGCTGAAGCAGAAGGATCACCTGAACCCAGCAAGTTGAGGCTACGGTAGCCTTGAACGTGCCACTGCACTCCACTCCAGCCTAGGCGACAGAGTGAGACTCTGACTCAAAAAAAAAAAAAAGGAAACATTTCAAATACAAAAATATTCCAAGTATAAACAGTAACATGTGTTTCTACATATGCATGTATGTTTATGTATGGATTTATTCCTTATCAAAGCTGTTTATATAAATGTTTATACAAAAATACATTCTATTAGACATGCTTCATTATAACTTAATCTGAAGATCACTAATACAAGCACATAGATATTTACCCCATTCTTTTAAACACCAAACTTCAACATCTAAAATTCACTTTAAAAATTAAATTAAATTAAAAAATAAAATTCACTTTTAGTTAAAAATAGAGAGAAGCACACCTGTTCAGTTGTCATCTGTACAGCAGCATGAACCGGCATACTATAGCTTGGTCCAGCTCTCCCAGAGCCCCAATTACTTTCCAAACTGAATCCTACAGCTATAATTTACAAAATGAAAAAAGTCACCAAGTGAAATAGGTTTTTATTTATTTAATTATTTATTTAGTGAAATAGGTTCTTAATCTTTTAATAAGTAGCTTTTAAAATGTGTATAATAAACTACATTAAAAACTCCTACAAAGCCGGGTTCTGTGGCTCAGCCTGTAATCCCACACTTTGGGAGGCTGAGGTAAGTGGATTGCCTGAGTCCATGGGTTCGAGACCTACCTGGGCAATTTGGCGAGACCTCATCTTTACAATAAATCAAAAAATTAGCCAGGCGTGATAGCGCGCGCCTGTAGTTCCAGCTACTTGGAAGGCTGAGGCAGAAGGATCGCCGGAGCCCAGCAGGTCAAGGTGGCGGTGGCCAGGAGCGGCCACTGCACTCCAGTCTGGGTGACAGAGTGAGACTCCAACTGAAAAAAAAAAATCCTACAATGCTGGGCGCGGTGGCTCAAGCCCGTAATTCCAACACATTGGGAGGCCTAGGCAAGAGAACTGCCTGAGCCCAGGGGTTCGAGACCAGCCTGGGCAACTTGGTGAGATCTCGTCTCTACAATAAATCAAAAAATTAGTCTGGCATGATAGCACGTGCCTGTAATTCCAGCTACTTGGAAGGCTGAGGCAGAAGGATCACCTGAGCCCAGCAGGTAGAGGCTGCGGTGGCAATGAGATTGCAACTCAAAAAAAAAAAGTCCTATAAAGTTTTTTTTAAAAAGCTAAATTCTAAATCATTCAGAGAGCACTTTTTTTTTTTTAGTTAGAGTCTCACTCTATCGCCCAAGCTGTAGTGCAGTGGCATGCTCGCAGCCACCGCAGGCTCGACCTGCTGGGCTCAGGCAATTCTTCCACTTCAGCCTTCCAAGTAGCTGGAACTACAGGTATGCACCACCACACCCGGCTAAAGAAAGCACATTATTAAAGTAATTCCACATTATTTGAACAAATTCGTACTAAACAACCCTTCTTTGTTCCCTATTGGAAGATTCTTTTTGTCTATAATTTATAAAAAAAAAAAGAAGATTAATATCAGGGATTTCCAGATGTTACTACTGGGGAAAATTAGGAGAAGTAATATAAAAGACCTACTTGTATATTTTGTGTGTTAATCTATAGTTATTTCAAAATAAAGGCAAAAGGAAAATTAGAGATTTCCTCAAGAAGACTTCAGAAAAGTTATAACTTGGAGCCATCGGCACAAATTAGTTTGGCTAACCCAACTCCATGAGAGAATAAACATTTTACAATCCCTGCATCTTTCAATATCAAAACAATATTAAGTTAAATTCCAAACTTACTTTTTGGTGCAGGACCCAATTTAAATCCGTGCTTCTTCAACTGATCTAAAACTGCTTTTCTATTTTCTTCTTTTCCCCAAAAACTCATATGCAGAGGCATAGTAAAAGCATTGTTTGCACCAAAAGGAACTACCCTATTTAGGAAAGAAAAAATGGGACATTAGAAGGGTTTTTTTTAACCCTCATTAAGAATCTGTCAAATGTTTTAAGTGTGCTGTTGAAATTTTGCATGGAGTAAAATTACAAGGAACTAGTTGGGCAGAATTGAAAAGGGACAGGAAGTGGAATCCTCAATAATCAGAAGGGTGATTTTTTGAGTAACAGGATGCCAGAAGAAATTGAGAAGTGTAATAAAGCAGTTTTAAAATACAAGAAATAACCTGGAAACAAAATTATAAATAAGTAAAATAGTGAGTTTAATTGAGAAGGTAGCGTCTTGGCTAACAGAACCACTGAGGGTAACAACTCATTCTGATGGAAGGATGGGAAATTATTTGCAAAAACTATTTCTAATCTAGTATTCATTAAAAGTTTACTCTCAGTACCTGAAAAACGTAGTAAAATGAAAAAGCAGAAAGCAAATAAAGTGAGACATTACTGAGCACTTGTTTTATCTTCTAAACTCACCTACAATTAGAATATGAAGATTCTAAACATTCCAAATATTTAAATTGAGATCACAAACCCAAATGTCTCAAAGAGAAAAGGTAACCAAGAGAAGACTAAGAGTTAAAAAAAAAGGAGGTGGTAGAACTGGAAGAGCTTTTGTATGCCCCAACTAAAGGAACAGCTACTACTCAGTTACAGTCAACTGATAATATATGGGAATGAGGTTCCAGCATCGCGAACTCTTCCGTTTGTCAAGAGAAAAATCTTTTTTTATGTTTAGTGAAACAAATTAATATGTATAAAAAGTAAACTACCCTAGAGATTTCAACATTGGAAATAAATGAAAAAATTTCTAAGACACTACTATGCAGGGTAAAATGAAATCTTACCCACATCATATCACAGAATACCAGTTTATAAACTGATATAAACAAGCATTTCCATACTCCTAACCTTAATCACCAAAACGCTTGGAGAAATGAAACGTGCTTGTTAACATTTAAACCAAATATTTTTTCCCACGATAATAATTCAACAGGAAAATGAGAGGATAACTTTAATGACTGGGCAGCAGAGGCAGATGAAAGAAACAAAATATTTACTGAACACATACCAAAGGTATAGTGATAAAAATTGTCATCATGCATTTATAGGCTCTGTAACAAGAAGGTCTCACAAGTTCAACGATGACTATAATTCACAATTATTAAAACTAAATTCTGAAAGTACATTACCCTTCTATTTGTGCCAATTTGTTGTCCATGATATAGGCCAAAGCAGCTGCAAGATCTTTCTTTAAATGGCCAACTTGATTTCCATTCACATTGTTGACTTTAATTGCATTTTTATCATAAGGGTTATTAGGCTCTCGTTGTAATGCAACCATTTCATTATTATTAACCTAATAAAAATGACAAACATAAAATTACATTATAAATAATGAACAGACAATAACAGCTTTACTTTATCATCCTTTATCTGGGATTTCCATGCTTTTTTTTTTTTTGAGTTGGAGTCTCACTGTTACCCAGACTAGAGTACAGTGGTATGCTCACGGCCACTGCAGCCTCAACCTGCTGGGCTCAGCAATCCTTCCGCCTCAGCCTGCCAAGTAGCTGGGACTACAGGCATGCACCACCACACCTGGTTAATTTTTTAATTTATTGTAGAGATGAGGTCTCGCCAAGTTGCCCAGCTGGTCTCAAACCTCTGGGCTCAGGTAATCCTCCTCCCACCTCAGTCTTTCAAAGGATTACAGGCATGAGCCACTGTACCCAGTTCTATCCATTTTTTAATGCTGCTTAAGACTGCATATAAGAAAAATGTAATTTGGGGACTCAGACTATAGAATACGAAAGCATATATTTTGCAATAATTCTTTAATAATACTTTCCTAATCTATATTCCCTAGGGCTGGGCATGGTAGCTCACGCCTGCAATTCCAGCACTTTGGGAAATCAAGGTGAGAGGGTTGCATGAGCCCAGGAGTTTGAGACCAGCCTGGGCAACATAGCAAGATCTCAAATCTACAAAAAAATAAAAATAAAAAAATTAGCCAGGCACAGTGGCACAGACCTGTAGTCCCAACTACTCAAGAGGCTGAGGTGGGAAGATCACCTGAGCCTAAGAATTTTTTTTTTTTGGGTTGGAGTCTCACTCTGTCGCCCAGGCTGAAGTGCAGTGGCACGCTCATGGCTACCATAGTCTCGACCTGCCGGGCTCAGGCAATACTTCCGCCTCACCCTTCCAAGTAGCTGGAACTACAGATGCACGCCACTACGCCAGGCTAATTTTTATGATTTATTGTAGAGACTAGGTCTCACCAAGTTGCCCGGGCTGGACTCGAAACCCCAGGCTCAGGCAATCCTCTCACCCTAGCCTCCCAAAGTGCTGGGATTATCGGCTGAGCCACTGCGCCCGGCCAAGCCTAGGAATTTGAGGCTACAGTGAGCTATGGTAGCACCACTGCACTATGGCCTATGCCAGAGCAAGATCCTGTCTCCTAAAAACAAAAAAGATATATATATATTTTATATTTATACACATTCACTAGGAAATTACTAAATCCTTTATAACTAAATACAGTCAAACCTAAACAATCAAATTCATACTTCTTAAAATTTTCAACATCCTAACTTCTGAAAAACAACTAACCTTTGAAGGCCTAGTATGTGCCAAGCATTGTTCTAAGTACACTTTACTCACTGACTTTTTTAAATTGTCACTATACTATCAGATGGTACTGTCACTATTTCCATTTTATAAATGAAGAAATTAAAGCATAGAAAGTGGGGCAACCTTCTCAGGTCCCCTCCTGCCGTGAGACCTTTTCTGTTCTCTCAATAAATCCTGCTTTCTCAAAAAAAAAAAGTTAAGTAGCTTGTCCAAAGCCACAAAGCTAATAGGTAATAGAGCTAGGATCTGAATCCAGACAGGCTGATTCCTGAGCCTGAATTCTCCAGAATAAGAAAAGGGGGGAAAAGACACTTCTAAGTCAGGGTGGAATTAGAATTTAAAAAACAGGCTGTCCATAGTGTCTCATGCTTGTAATCCCAGCACTTTGGAAGGCAGAGGCAAAAGGATTACCTGAGCCTAGGAATGCAAGACAAGCCTGGCCAGCTTGGTGAGACCTCATCTCTACAATAAATCAAAATAATTATCTGGCTGTGGTGGCACGCACCTGTGGTTCCAGCTGCTTGGAAGACTGAGGCAGAAAGATTGCCTGAGCCCAGCAGATCCAGGTTGCAGTGGCTGTGAGTGCGTCACTGCACTCCAGCCTGCTCGACAAAGTAAGACTTCGACTCAAAAAATAAGAAGTGGGGCACAGTGGCTCACACCTGTAATCCCAGCACTTTGGGAGGTAGAGGAGAGAGGGTTGCCTGAGCCCAAGGGTTCAAACCAGCCTGGGCAACTTGGTGAGACCCTGTCTCTACAACAAACCAAAAAATTAGCCAGGCATGGTGGGGCACACCTGTAGTTCCAGCTACTTGGAAGGGTGCAGGGGAGGGATCACCTGAGCCCAGCAGGTGAAGGCTGAGTTGGCTGTTAGCGTGCCACTGCTCTCCAACCTGGGCGACAGAGTGAGATCCCAACTTAAAAAAGAAAAAGAAAAAAAATATATCCAGCGTTCAACTCATGCCATTCTGACTCCACTTAATTAAAAGCTTTATGAGAGTAACATAATAAAAGTAGAGTAAGAACCGCTGAAAATTCTTCCCTTAATAAAAGCAACCAAAAAAATACTAGCAAAAATTTTCAGAATCAATTGTTTTCAGAACTCTAAGAACTAACCAAAGGTTTGCAGAAACCTGGGGAGCGTTTATTCAAGATAAACAGCCTTATATCAGTGTCTCAGTCCCATCCCCAGCTCTCTACTTACACTGTAGCCTTTAAAAATAACAGCCTGCTGGGATTCTAGGTGCAGCCTGGCATTCACCAGAGAGAGTTAAATGGAATCACAGCTCTTTCAAAGATGCATTCCCAAAGAACTGTCACTATCTGAACTGTCTTGACAGTCCCTAGAAGACTCCACTGGCAAGGTTGGCTATATTAAACCCACATAAAAAACCTTCTCCCTTGGGTGGATGTTTGTCAAAAGCAGTTTTCCAGGAAAGTGTTTTAACTTCTTGGCTGCCTGAGGCAGTGGCTAACAGTTGGAGCAAACAGTAGGATCACAAAAAGGCTTATGAAGAAAAGTTGGGGAGTCAGATGTCTGCAAGGGCTTCGGAAAGCTCCTAAATATTTCTGGAAATCTAGAAAGTCATAAGTAAGCATGGGGCTATGCCATGACCAGGGTTGTGTACATTCTCAGGAGACCTAAGAATATCCTAAACTCTCACCTCTGGCTGAACTTGAGGCATTTAAAAAGCAGGAAGTGAGAGTTAAAGCAGAGTTGTCAACTGTCTTAGAATGCTGCAGGAGTGCCCGCAAAACATACAGAAAACTCAGCAAAGTATGTGAAATTATTTGTTCTAGTATAAGCACAAGTTGACCACTAAGCTGAGCACAGACTTCAGTAACCACACATAATAAAGAGTAGTCTTTACAGAATTTTAATTCAGAAGAGTCACTGACAAACACTTATTACCAAAATCAGCAACAACAAAGAACCCTGGAAAAGAGGAATTCACAATCAATATCAACATTTCCCAAAAAGCACAGATATTCAACATACTAGAAAAAGAATTTAAGCCATTCTTTCACGTATGTTCAAAGACCTAAATCAAGCCATTTCTTTTTTCTTTTTTTGTTTTGAGTTGGAGTCTCACTCTATTGCCTAAGCTGGAAGGCAGTGGCACACTCACAGCCACCACAGCCTCGACCGGCTGGGCTCAGGCAATCCTTCTGCCTTAGCCTTCCAAGTAGCTGAAACTATAGGCATGTGCCACCATGCCCAGTTAATTTTTTGATTTATTGTAGAGATGAGGTCTCACCAAGTTGCCCAGGCTGGTCTCAAACCCACGAGCTCAGGCAATCCTCTCACCTCAGACTCCCAAAGTGCTGGGATTATAGGCATGAGCCACTGGCAGCCGGCTAAGCCATTTCTTTAGACTCGAGAAAACACCTCACCAAATAGGAAATCTGGACTCAAAAAGTACAAGAACTGAGTAAAAAATTCACTAGAAAGGTTCAACAGCAGATTTGAGTTGAAATCACAATCAGTGGAGTTGAAGATAGGTCAGGTGAGATTACACAATCTAAACAGAAAGAGAAAGTGAAAAACATAAACAAGAACAAGAGCCTCAGAGACCTGTAAAATCAAGCATACCAACACACATCTAATAAGAGTACCAGAAGGAGTAGAGAGAAAGGGGCAGAAAAAATATTCAAGAAATCAATGGGGAAAAACATTCCAAATTTGATGAAAACCATTTCTACACATAAAGAAGCTCAACACATGTTAAGGAGATCTGCACCTGGTAACATCAGAATCAAACTTCTGAAAGAATCTTGAAAGCAGCAAGAAAGGAGCAACTCTTCACACATAGGGGATCTTCAATAAGATTGGCATCTAATTTCTCATCAGAAACCATGGGAACCAGAAGGCAGTGGGATAACTTTCCAAGTGCTTAAGAAAAAAACTCAATCAATTTCACATCTGGCAAAATTACCTTTCAAAAATGAAGAAGAAACTAAGACATTTCTAGAGAAACAAAAACTGAAAGAACTCCTCACCAGTAGACCTGACCTACAGGAAATACTAAAGGAAGTTTTTCAGGCCAAGGTCAAAGAACACTAGACAGTAACTTGAATCCACATGAAGAAATTAAGAGCACAGGTAATCACATAAGTAAATATAAAAGACAGTATAAATATAATTTTTTCTACTTGATTTAAAGTGCATATAACAGTAATTATATCTGTGTTGATGAGTATACAACATAAATAAAATGCAATTTGTATGGTAACAGCACAAAGGAAGGGAACAGAACTACCTAGGAGCAGTTTTTATATACTATAAAATTAAGTTGGCACTAATCCAAACTAGACTCTTATAAATTAAGATGTTAATTGTAATCACTAAGGCAATCATAAGAAAATAAAATATACAGTAAAAGAAACAAGAGAACTAAAATAGTATACTAAAAACATCTATTCATGGGAGACAGAGACCTTGTCTCAAATAAGTAAATAAAATACTTTTCAACATAAAAGTAGTATCGGAGGCCAGACCCAAAGGCTACATATTGTGTGAATGATTTCACACAAGTCAACGGCAAGCGAATTCATACAAACAGAAAGTAGATTGATTAGCAGTTGCCAGGGACTGAGGGCAGTGGGTAATGGGGAGTGCCTACTAATGGGAATGGGGTTTCTTTATGGAGTGATGGAAATGTTGTCAAACTAGATAGTGAGAATGGTTGCACAACAACCCCTCATGAATAGTCTAAAAAGTACTCA